CTACAACCAAAAAATAGCCAGGCGTTGTGGCTGGCGGCTATAATCCCAGCTACTTGGGAGGGTTAGGCAACAGAATCCTTTAAGCCCAGGAGCTGGATGTTGCTATGAGCTGTGATGCCACAGCACTCTACCAAGGGTGACAAAGTGAGACTCTGTCTCTAAAAAAAGGAAAAAAAAGAAAAAACAAAATAAAGAGCAGCCTGAGAAAATGAATCACCTATCCAATGATGACTGCCTATAAAATGAAATGTCCAATTATACCAGGAAGATAAAATACATCAGAATCATTACCAATTCTTGTTTTTTGTAGACTCGTGTTACTAATATATCTGTGAATTCCTGTAATTCATCTTTATCTCTTAGAAGTTACTAGCAAAGAGCCCCTTGGTTTGCTGAATGAAATCTCATAAGAGTACATTCGAGTTTCTATTTTTGTCTTTTTAGGGGGCAGGACACAAGACTCTAACTTTGTCTCCCTGGGTAGAGAACCATGGCATCAGCCTAGTTTGTAGTGTGGGAGCCAAACTAATTAACTCAAGTCACAAGTCAAACTACCTCCTTTTGCTGTTTAATCAGAACAATAGGCTGCCGCATACCACACTTAGGTGTTACAACCCACATCCTGACCCCCCTCCCCTTTTTGCACTCGCCACTCTACTCTGCACACGCCCCACTTGCGACCTTTATCCCTTCCTTCTCATTCGCTCACCTGAGACAAGAAGACTCATCCCTAAGCCAATCAACCCTGAACACGACCACCCTGTCCCTGTCAGTTTAGGACAGACATGGTTTACCTACCAATAAGGGGATGGGGTGGGATGGTCTAATGGGAGGGAAGAGGGAGAGATATAAAGGGACTTTCTGGATAGTCTGTAAGGGCTGCTCCTGTTTTTTCTTAAAGGGCAGCCCAGGCTCTGAGCTTGAATGAATAAAATTCCTCCTGCCTTTGCAGCGATGTTCGGACTCTCAGAGTGGTGCTTGAATTGAGTCTGGAGGTTAACAGTAGCAACCTCCGATTTCTGGGCTGAAACAATCCTCTTGCCTCAGCTTCCTAAGTAGTTGGGACTACAGGCACCTGCCACAACACCCAGCTATTCTTTTAGAGATGGGGTGTTGCTTCTGCTCAGGCTGGTCTCAAACCAGTGAGCTCAAGTGATCCACCCACGCTGGCCTCCCAGAGTGCTAGACTTACAGACTTGAGCCACTGTGCCTGGCCGAGAAGACTTTCTAACCTAACACCTTAGTATTAAAACACACACTTTAATTCAGTCGTGAAGTTACCATAAAAGAGCAATCCTTGAACACAGCTCTGGTGAATTCCTGCCTCCTTGCATATCATTCATGGCTCCCACAAGACTCTTGCAGCGTCCTGCCAAACCCTGGTCAGCCTGAGTCTAGAATGGGTGCTCTTAACCCCAACACTCTCCTTCCTACCAGTCAGTGTCCAAGTCTCCACACAGAGAAACACAGGTTATGGGATGTTTGCAAAATCGTCATAGCAAAGTTTCAGACTGCACTTAGCAGTTTATAAAGGAATCCATTCTCCCAAAATAAAATAAAATAAATAAACTGAGCCTCAGGATAAAACCATCCAAAGGGATCTATCACCCAGTGTGAATAATCAGGGGTCCTTAGGAAATCATCTCCCCAACTTTTTCTGTCACAGATAGTTCAACGGCTTACAAACTCAGCTGTGGAGTCCCAGGTACTTTCCAAACTTCCACACCAATGGGCTCCCAAACACGATTCAATTCAGTCTTATTTAGAAAGACAAATTAAAGCATAGCACTGGGGTTAATCCAACCCTTGGGATTAGGAGACAATCAGTGTGTTGACGTGGTATAAAATGAAATATATCTGGGTCATTGTCCCCAGTTCCTGGCACAGAGCTCCTAAAAGCCTTGGAATTTCCTGGGTGATTCTAGTGTCTTTTGTTATTCATAATCAGCCCCCAAGGATCACACCTGACTTTAGGCATGGTGGCTCGGGGTGTGGCCCCTAGACAGCCTGGGGTGGAGCCATACATCAGAAAGACAGGGTAAAGTCAGGGTTGAACTTTCAGCCCCACCCAGGGATCGCTGAGAAACTGAGATGGGAGTTAGAGCTGGACTTTAAGCTCTATAACAACTCTTGAACAAGATGCCACGAGCTTCCAGAGTGCACAATTCCGCTGGAGGGCTGACATATGCTGAGGGGGGTATGGAAGCACCAAGGTTTAGAGCACAGACTACGGAGTCAAAACATTTGAGTTCAAGTCCCAGCTCTGCCACCTATCCCAGGGCAAAACTGGAAAGTTAATGAAGCACTGTGGGCCTCAGTTTCTCAACTGCAAAAGAGAAATAAAATATCCAAATTATAGGGTTGTTGTTCCCTGGAAAGCCCCGAGAATAGGCCTGACACACAGCAAACACTCCTTAGGTGAGAACTTCAGCCCCTGGAAAAGTTCCCACAGTTTCTTTCCATTCATTCTGATTCCAGAATTCAGCAGCTGCTCCAGCTCTCAGAAGGCCAGGTCCCAAAGTCCTGTGAGCTCCCCAGTGCCACAGAAGGCAGTCTGGAATGTGACAGGCACAGAGGCAGGAAGGGGCCATACACACGAAGCCTCTGTGCCCTTCTGGGACAGATGAATTTTTTATGCCAAGAACATATTCATGTATTTCTTGTGCAAATTAAAAAGCACTTTTTCTTACGTAAAATAAACATGCATGATTGAGTGCTAAGAAGAGCATCACCAAACACATCCTAGCAAGTTTCAGAACGCACTTAGCAGTTTATAAAGGAATCCATTCTGCCAAAATAAAATAAATAAAATAAAATAAGCCTCAGGAGAAAAACATCCAATGGGATCTCTGAAGGGGGGGTCTCTGGAAGACAGCTCAGAATCCAAGTGTTCTGGGGGGTTTTGTTCTTATTTTTAAACACCATCCTCATCATTTTGGTTATCTAATTTGGCAGACTGCAAAAATTGAAAGCCGCACACTGGAAGAGAGGACGGACAAGACCATGGTGAAGGGACGCTGCCTGTGGAACCAGACAGAGCCGGCCGCTCACCAACTGTGAAATTCAATCACTCGGAACCTACAAAATGGGTCTAACAGAACCATCTTCACAGGGATGTTTTGAGGACTAAGGGAGAATATATATATAAAGCACCTTGACCTCTGCCAAATACTTAAAATCATCAGTAAAAATTATGGTGAACCATATGGAAATGCTGTCTCTCTGAGTTACAGCTGCGCAGTCAAAAAAGATGACAACCAGTCTGAAGCAGGCAAGGGCTTGCGCGGGGCAGCCGTGAGGCTCGGGGTAGGGGAGGCCCACAGAGAAGGGCTGAGGGTGGTCTTCCAACTTCCAATTTTCAGATGAATGGCCCAGCATCCTATGTGAGCCAACACTGACCAGAGCAAAGGCATAACACTGAACAGGGCAAAGATAAAGCTTGGGAGAAATTTTCTTTTAAATTCTCATGAGAATCCAAAGCATAAAAATCCACAGCTATTGAGGATGTGGGCAAGGAGTCCCACATATCTTAAAACTTAAGGGGATGGTGTCCTCTCTAAGTTAAAAACCAGCCTTTGGAACAATGACCCTAATTTATTTGATCAAGATTAAATTAACCTATTTAAGATGAGGGTTTAGAATACATTTCAGAGGGAAATATGTTTAATTACATAAAAGTTAAACTTTTCAGAAGCTTTAACACTTGTGACTAAAGAACACAGAACAGACAAATCTACAGACACAGAAAGCAGAGCGGTGGTGGCCGGGGAGGGGAAGGGGCCTGGCTGCTTAGTGGATATAAAGCTCCAGTTTAAGACAATGAAAAAGTTCTGGAACTAGATTGTGGTGGTGTTTGTACAACACTGTGAATGGACTTAATTCCATCCAATTGTACACTTTAAAATGATTACAATAGTAAATTTGGGGGGGCGGGCCAGGCTGGGTTTGAACCCATTACCTCCAGCATATGGGGCTGGCACCCTACTCCTTTGAGCCACAGGTGCTACCCTACAATAGTAAATTTTACATTACGTCTATTTCACCACAGTTTTTTACGTACAAAAATAGACACTATTTGACTGCTCACTATACTGAGCACTTTATGTGTGACACTTTACACCAGTGCCATGAGGTAAATTTTATTCTTATCTTCATTTGATGGGAGGTCACTGAGGCTTCATGAAGTAATGAGACTTTCCCCAAACCACACACAACCAGTAAGTGGGAAGCCAGGACCTGAGCACGAGCTGGCTCTCTGCAACGCACAGACCAACTGATGCTCCCAGAACTCACGTGAAACCATTGTGGTTGGTTAATGCCAAAAACTGAGGTGTTCAGGAGCTTAAGGAAAATTGGCAAGAGGGTCCACACAAATTCTGGCTCTTCAAAGAACATTTTTAATAAAATATATGAACACTGAATTATTCTGGAACCCTAAAATAATTCGTACCTTCATTTTTCATGATGTAATGGACAATTTGCCCAACAGTGTCACTATTTTCATTTATACTGTCATTCAATTCTGAAAGAAAAGAGAAGACGGGACAACAGGTTACAAGTGGTCACCAGCATCCTGTCAATCAGTCTTGGAGCCCAAGACGTCACTAAATGAACTGTTTCTAGAAACCTCCGGCGATGACCCATGGTGCTAAGATTCTGGGCTTTATTCCTTCAGCCCCAAACTTCCTAATGCATAACAAGCTGGACTCCCTGGGCATAATAAGCAAAAATAGGAAGTATCAGAGCTGCCCATCACATCTCTCTCAAGTTCAAATACCCACTGACTTTCCATGATAACAATTTGGAAATGCATTTTGTATCAGTCCTCAATGCTACTAATTCTTTTTTTTTTTTTTTTTTTGAGACAGAGCCTCAAGCTGTCACCCTGGGTAGAGTGCCATGGCTTCACTGCTCACAGCAATCTCCAACTCCTGGGCTCAAGCGAGTCTCCTGCCTCAGCCTCCCAAGTAGCTGGGACCACAGGCGCCCGCCACAACGCCCGGCTATTTTTTGGTTGCAGCCATCATTGTTGTTTGGCGGGCCCAGGCTGGGGATTCAAACCCGCCACCTTAGGTGTATGTGGCTGGCGCCTTAGCTGCTTGAGCCACAGGCATCGAGCCAATGCTACTAATTCTTTCTTATCGTGTCCTTTCTTCAACCCTTAGGACAAATGAGAAGAAGAAAGCTAATTTTAAAAAAATTTCTCCTTGAATTTTATTTTAATTACAGGCTATTATATAAATTACTACTTTACTTTTAATTGGACAATTATTCATCCATGTTTATAAAATTCTCCTGTCCTTTTTTTTTTGAGACAGGGTCTCACTCCAATGGTGTCATCATCGCTCACAGCGATCTCAAATTCCTGGACTTAAACCATCTCCAGCTTTAGCCCCCTGAGCTTCTGGAACCACATGCCCACATAACCATGCCAGGCTAATTTTTCTTTATTTTTTGTAGAGATAGGGTGATGCTGTTGCCAGCGTGGTCTCAAACTTCTGACCTCAAGCAATCTTCTTGCCTCGGCCTTCCAAAGTGCAGGGAGGCATGAGGCATGACACCTGACCTCAAAACTCTCCTCCTGTCCCCTTTTTCTTTTTCTTTTCTTTCCTCTTTTTGAGACAGAATCTTTCTTGGCCCTCAGACTTGAGTGCAGTGGCATCATCATAGCTCACTGAAATCTCAAATTCCTGGGCTCAAGTGATCTTCCCACCTCAGCCTCCCAAGTAGCTGGGACTACAGGCGCCCTCCACCATACCTGGCTAGTATTTATTTGTTTGTTTTGGGTTCTTGTTTTCTACTTTTAATAGCGACAGGATCTCACTCTTCTTGCTCAGGCTGGTCTTGAACTCTTGGGCTCGAGCGATCCTCCTGCCTCAGACGAAATTGCTCGGATTATAGCCCTGAGCCACTGCCCCTCGCTTCCTTTCCTTCTAAATCTTGACCTTTATTTGTCCATAAACTCAGTTTATTTTGGGGGGCTCCGTACCAGCAGAAAATGTGGTGCTCTTTGGAAAAAGGCAAACCTCCACTCTGAAGCCGATCTGTATAATTTGTTTCAGTAAGACAAGAAGGAAGAGGGAGGGCTGAAAATCCATCCTCGTTCCCAGACAATGAAGCAGAGGTTCCGCCCATTTGCACGGAAGGGTCTTCTCCACGTGCAGGTCAGCTTCCCTTCTACGTGAACGCGGGGAGACAGCGTGGAAGCTGACTGCTAAGCCAACCTACGGGGCACCCAGGGAGGAGGAGGCAAGGAGGCTCCTCTTTCTGTTGACAAACACTCCGCTTGGGTTTGCTCATAAGCTCACACATGACTCATCGTGCCTCAAAGGTCAGTGGGGGTGGGAAAAACCAACAGTCCGGCAAGCTGGCAAGGAACGAGGAACCTCCCCCACCCAGCCCTATGAGCTTGCTTGAAGGATGACCTACTCCAAATGTCACCTTTCTCCAAACACTGACTGCCCTTACTAGCCCTCTAGGAGGCCCAAGTCAGGAAAACCTCCCTAACAGATGATTAGAAAGAAACACTGGTGAGAAGATAGGATCTCAAATCTGGGGGTTCTGCAAACATTGCCTCACAGCTCCACAACATCCTGAAGTTAATGGGAAGGCCCCAGCTTGCCACATTGTCACTGCACTCATCACACAATCATTTACCTAAGAAATGTAAATCCCTTTCACAAAGGTTTAAGATAGAATTCCTCTAGCAAATGTAATGCTACAAAAATGGTGAGACATTTAATTTTTTCTTTCATTCTTATTAGAATCTGATTCAATGATAATAGTAAGGGGCTGGACATAGTGGCTCACGTTCAAAATCCACGCACTCTGGGAGGCAAAGGCAAGGAGGGCCCCTTGCAGTCAGGAATCTGAGACCAGCTTAAGCAAGAACCAGACCCCATCATTCCAAAAAATAGGAAAACATTAGCTGGGCATGGTGGCATGTGCCTGCAGTCCCCAGCTACTCTAGAGGCTGAGGTGGGAAGATCACTCAAGCCCAAGAACTCAAGGTTAAAAGTGAGCTATGATGATGCCACTATACCCCCAGTCTGTCTCTGATAGAGACAAAGGTCCTGTCTCAAAGAGTAAATAATAATAACAGTAAGGATCAATATTTACTGTTCTCTGATCAATATTTACTGATAGGCCATATTCATCTCCTAAGTTTCACAGTAACTTTACAAGGTGAGGATTATTACCCTCACTTAAATTAAATTAAAATGTCAACTGAAGAAAATTAAATGCAATAAAAAGGAATTTAAGTTAAACTATACATAGCAAAGATTCGGAGCATACCTAACTTGTCCAAGGCCATAAGGGAAAATTACCTGGCAGGTATTCATTAAATAAAAGCAAAGTTTCAACCCCAGGTGTGATTACTAGAAATCTACACTGAGGCAGTGCACACAGCACCTGCTAGCAGAAAGGATCGTTTGGTCTTAGAGACAGAAGGCCTGCCTCACTGGTTTCTTACTTAGAAATTCCCTGCCACAACAAGGACCCAGGGGACTTACCTATCTTTTCAACCTTTTCCTCTTCGATGTCTTGCTCGGCTTCTGTGGTACAACGATAGCCTTTCTTCTTAAGCAGGTGGCAGATGAGGACCCCAAAGAGCCCCATGATAAAGAACACAGGCACAAGCGCATATGCGATGTACTCTGGGTGTCCATTCCCAGAATTGTTAGCAGGCGACGGAGTCGTCTCAGTCCTGGAGTGCAAAGTGCGGCTGCCTCCATTGTCTGCAGAAAGAAGCACGCACGGCCTTGTTACACATATACGGGGGCAAGAAGAGCCTAATGGCCCTGGGGAAATGTCACGTAAGTCAGCATCTGCTCCCAAACCACGGGTCATGCAGAGACAGGCGGGTCTGACAGCAGAGGCACAAAGGGTGAGAACCCAGGCTTGGACTCCAACAGTCTGAGTCACCTCCTGTCCCTGCTACTCATGAACTGGGTCCCACCCAGAGTTATCTTTTCTTAAACCTTATGAACCCAGTTTCTACTTCTTCGTGTGAAAGAGGCTTGGAATGAATGTTCGTGGTTTTAGTTGCGTGCGCAGCAGAGGATAAACACGCCAACGTTAGGTGGTATTATAGCACAGTGCTTAGTGATTAAGAGCATGGACTCAGGGGCCTGGGCTTCTATTCCCAGCTCCAGCACTTAGCAGCTGTGTGACAAAGGACAATACATTAATATCTCAATGTCTTGATTTCTTATGAAATGGGCTACTAATAGCACCACCCAACCTTCTAGGGTTGTTATGAAGATGAAAGAAATTACTGCATTATGACATATAATTACGCTTAGAACCATTTCTGCAACGTCGCAATTGCTCGCCTGCATGCCTGGCACCCCCCAGGCTTTCGTGCATCCCACTCAGGAGAGCAGACGAGACCCCTATCTTCACGTAGCTTATGGTCTAGAACAGTGGTTCTCAACCTTCCTAATGCCGCAGCCCTTTAATACAGTTCCTGTGGGTTGCGGCCCACAGGTTGAGAACCACTGGTCTAGAAGGATTTAGTAAACTAACATATCTAGAACATGAAGAAAAGGGGAAAACAGGAGATGGCCGCAAGATGGTGGCTCAGGATAGAAGCATAAAAATGACAGCGTGTACATCTGCCCATTCATTCACTGATGCAAACAAACATTTACCGCAGGCTCGACATGTGACAAGCACCACGGTAGGAAGTGGGTGATGAGCAGCATACACGGGCCCTGCCACCGTGGAGCCAGGAGGGTGGCAGGAGAAACAGCCGTTAAACAGGGCAACACCCAGGCAGATCCCGACAGATGGTAAGAAATGGTAAGAAGGAAAAGAACAGTGGGGGCAGCAGGAAGACCACAGGCACAGGGAGCCAGGGAAGAAGGCTTCTTGGAGAAAAATGAGGTTTGCTCTTCGACATGTCAAAGCGTCACATGCACACACACCACTCACAGGCAACCTGCACAGGGCCACCGGGCTCTGCAAAGGGAGCAGCCGTGAGCCTGGAGCCTACGATTATCATCAGAGATGTGGCCAATTAAGATAGCAGAGAGAACAGACTGTGCAGATCAGCCTGCAGAGTTCGGTGCCACAGGAAATGAGGTGGGCGGTGTCACACAGAGGAGGTCAGGCGATGAGGACTAACGCTGAAACCAAGTCCCAGGATTTGGGCTCCAAAGGGGCAGAGTGAAATTTTCTACATCAGGGACATTCACACATAATGCTAAGGAAACCCAGAAATTAGAAAGCTAGAGGCATTTAATTCTAAGTATTCTCAAGAGGATTTTGGTGAAAAGAAAATCTGCTCTAAGGATCATATTGGGGACTAATATTTGGTGTGAAATAACCGCAGTTCATCACAGGGGCAAGGAGCCACAAAAAGAAGCTTTACTCACAAAGCAGGGGCCATAGAACAAAAGGTTGGCCCTCTTCTGTATGGAAATGCACATAGAAGGAAATGACTAGTTTCTTTGGGTTGAAAGAGGTTGCATTCATTATTTTATCAGAAAACCTCTAAAAATTGGAAGAACCTTTAATTTTTTTTTCTTATGTCTTTCCCCAGGAATCAATATAACAAGTAAACAAATATCTATCTAAATTAAGATTTAGCCTCTAGCCTTAATTTCAGTAAAAACCAGAAGCATCAATTTAATACCTTCTACAGCTGTATCTAAGTTGTATTTATTTATTCCTTTTAATGATATATATTCCATACAAAGTAGGCAGCACGCTGTGAGGCATTTTTACTCAGAATCATCATCTGTTTCAATCTGAAGGTGATAATAAATTCTCTTTGGGGGCCAGTGGGAGATAGGGATGAAAGCAGAGAGACTCAGAAGGGGAGCGGAATAATCTCCCCCTGAGTGAGGGGGTTGCACATGTGTCTTCATCCTGAATTTGACGTTTAGCAAATGCTTACAAATACTCATAGAGTCCTCTGGTTTACAAACAGTAGAACCTCCATAGTTGATCACTTCCTACCTTGACCACCTCCTTAAGTTGACCTAATTTTCATAGACTGGACATGCACCACACGTACATATCAGAACAGCGGGCCTAGTTCTTTAGGTTGACCAGTTTGTTACAGTCCCTTGGTGGTCAACTTACAAAGGTTCTACTGTATCATTCACTTAATTTCCTAACTATTGTACCATGAATAAAACTGAAGAAGACTGGAATCTAAATTGGTGAAACAAAGGAATAACAGAGAGATATAAAATAGCACCAAGGTTAAAAGCTCAGACTGCCTGGCAGAATAACATCTTGACCTCATACTAAAAATGTCACCCTGAGCAAGTAATTTAACTGTTCTGTAACTCAGTTTCCTCATCAGAATAGTGGGATCAAAACACTGATGATTTGTTATATAATAGTAGTAACTGGAAGACTTCCTCATGGAGTCATCGTAAGGATTTCCAGTACTCAGAAGAGTGTCTAAGAAAAGGTAAGCACTACCAAAATGTTTTAGTAATCATCATTATACACCTGCACTATACAACAGGGTAGTCACCAGTCACAGGTAGCTATTTAAATTTAAATTTAGGTCAACTGAGCTTAAAGTTAAAAATTCAGTTCCTTTATTGCACCTGCCACATCTCAGCTACGCAACAGTCCCATGTAGCTAACTGCTACCCTTTTAGGCAGTCCAGATAAAGAACATTTCCATCATCCAGAAGGTTCCATGGGACAGTCCTGTTATACACCATAAAGATAGTTAATGAGGCCCTGGAGCAGAGCCTCACACCTGTAATCCTGGCACTCTGGGAGGCCAGGACAGAAGGACTGCTTGAGGCCAAGGAGCTCAAGACCAGCCTTGACAACAGCAAGACTTTGTCTCCACAAATAATTTTTTAAAAGTTAGCCAGGCAGGTGGCGCCTGTGGCTCAAAGGAACAAGGCACCAGCCCCATATGCCAGAGGTGGCAGGTTCAAACCCAGCCCCGGCCAAAAACTGCAAAAAAGGGGTAAAAAAAAGTTTTTTTTTTTAGACAGAGCCTCAAGCCGTCCCCCAGGGTAGAGTCCCCCTGGGTAGAGTGTCGTAGCAGCAACCTCCAACTCCTGGGCTCAAGCGAGTTTCCTGCCTCTGCTTCCCAAGTAGCTGGGACCACAGGTGCCCACTACAACACCTGGCTATTTTTTTGGTTGCAGCGATCATTGTTATTTGGTGGGCCTGGGCTGGATTCAAACCTGCCACCTTAGGTGTATATGGCTGGTGCCCTAGCCGCTTGAGCCACAGGCGCTGAGCCAAAGAATTTTAAAAATAGCCAGGCATGGTGGCACTTGCCAGTAGTCCCAGCCACTTGGAGGCTGAGGTGGGAGGATCATTTAAACCTGGAGTTTGAGGCCAACCTGGGCAACAGTCAAGAAGCAATGACACCTGTCCAGAACTGTGGGCCAGGGCAGAAGAGGGCTCTGTTTGAGGAGATGGTAGGCTCAGCAGAGAGACTGGCTGAAGAAATGGGGACACCACTGATAGGACTGCACAGTGGCACTCAGAACACAGGTGAGACGTGCACCCCAAATCTCCAACTGTTTCAACCCATTCAAGCTGGAAAACCCAGCAGAGGAAGGAACTAGCAATCAGGGTCAGAATGGACAGTAGTCACAGCCAGAGTAAGGAAGGAGACAACAAAGAGTGAGAAGGTTCCAGAAGAGAGGAACCCTAACTCACTAGTTTACTATGCTAATCATTGAATCTTCACAATAAACTTACAAGAAAGGGTTCCTCATGTCACAGATGGGCAAAAAGAACAGAGAGAGTCACATTCCCAGGGTCACACAGTTACTCAGTGGCAGTGCCTGGACCCAAGCAGTGTGGGTCCTGCCTGCTCAAATAGAGACGGCTCCCTCTTACCCTGGGCTGTCCATGTGTGCATTAATAAAACATGGCTTATCCAAGAGCACTTTTCAACCACCAATGTCTGCTAAAGGTATATTTTATTTTTCTTTCAACAATATTTCATATTATAGCTACTTTTCTGCTAAAAATGCTAAAAAACACTAGCCTCCTCTCTCATATTTCACAACTTGATTTAGATAGAGGCTCCCCAAACTTCAAAAACCTTGGGTTCCTATTAGCACAGCAAGAAGTAGGAGATGTTTTGAAAATGCCCCTGCCAGACTCCAACACAGTTTATGAGATGAGCTATAAAAGTCTACTGTTTGTCCTCCATCTTCCTCCCAACTCCCAAATCCCAGGTCACCTCATACAGGTCATACCCTGGATACCACCCTCCCCCAAACACAAGCCCATTATCATCTCACCTGCAGCATCTCCGGAAGCAAGAAGCCCAAAAAACACTGCTCAGCTCTGATGAGCATAATTCTCTTCCACAGCATTGCAAATAAAAAAATATCCAACAAAGGCTGGCATTTATGGAAATGCTTTTGGGTTTTTCCTGGGCCCACCCGGGTTTGGTTAATTCACTGTATTCTAGGGAGCCACAATGTACATGTGCTTTCCCAAGAGCCTGTTGAGAAGATTACAAAGGAAGATGGTGAGATAAAAAAGATTGAGGACTTCAGGGAACTGAGGAGGAGGCATGAGGAATGGGTGGAAGTCAACCTAAAAAGTCAATAGCAATTTTCTAGCTTGTTTCCAAGTAATATTTGCATTTCCAACCGACCCCTGGTCAGAGGAGCTGAGAGAGAAGGGCACAGACACAGCCTTCCTCACACCAGTGGGCATGGCTTGAGGAAGGCAACATAATGGGAAGACGATGGTACGATAATAATCAGAGACTCCACACAAGGCA